AAAAAAAAAAAAAAGTGGACAAAAGACACGAATAGACACTTCAAAAGAAGACACACACATGGCCGACAGCATATGAAAAAATGCTCAACATCACTTATTATTAGAAAAATGTAAATCAAACCCACAGTGAGATGCTATCCCAACACCAGTTAGAATGGCTACAATTAAAAAGTCAAAAAATAACAGATGTTGGTGAGATTGCAGAGAAACAAGAATGCTTATACACTGCTGGTAAGAATGTAAATTAGTTCAGCCACTGTGGAAAGCAATTTGGCGATTTCCCAAAAAAACTTTGAACTACCATTCAATCCAGCAATCCCATTATCAGGTATATACCCAAAGGAATGTAAATCATTCTATCATAAAGATGCATGCACATGTATGTTCATTCCAGCACTAGTCACACTAACAACAGTATGGAATCAACCAAAGACTGGTTAAAGAAAATGTATATTTACACATGGAATACCATGTCTATAAAAAAGAACGAGATCATGCCTTTTGCAGCAACTCAGATGGAGCTGGAGACCATTATCCTAAGCAGACTAACACAGGAATAGAAAACCAAATACCACATGTTTTCACTCATAAGTGAGAGCTAAACATTGAGTACCCATGGACACAAAAAGGGAACAACAGACATTGGGGCCTCTTGAGGGTAAAGAGTGGGAGGAGAGTAAGGATTAAAAAACTACCTAGAGGTACCATGCTTATTACCTGGGCAACGAGATAATCTGTACACCAAACACTTGTGACATATAATTTACCTAGAGAACAAACCTGCACATGTGCTTCTGAAACTAAAAGTTTTTTTTTTTTTTTTTTTTTTAAAGTTCCTTATTTGAAGATTCCCTTAGAATTAGAAAAACGTACTTCTCTTGCATTGGTCTTTTCTGTTGAGTAACAGGTATTGTGTAATGCACTATGTTGCTAGATTCCCTAAAACCAACAGAACCTTTATTTATAGCAATGTGTAAGTCTTCATGGTTTTCACACTTGTTTTTTTCTCTTTTAAGGTTATTGCATTTCTATGCTTCTACAGATGGCTCTGATCTGTCTTTATATTCTTCCTCTCTGTTTTTCAGTTTTAATTGTCTTTATTGTTTGGGTTTTATAGTTCACAAAATAATTCTGAGAAAAAGCTATCTTTGTGATTCTCAGACATAGAAATTATTTAAAAGTATTAGAATCTTCCTTTCTTGACTTCTGTTTTCCTTAATCTGAATGTTGATCTTTCCTTACATGCCCTATCAAAGTTTTAAAAATATGAGTTTATTTACTTTTTATTTTAGACTCTGGTGGTATATGTGCAGGTTTATTACATGGTTGCTTTTTTTTTTTTTTTGAATGGCAAGAGGTGTGAATAATTAAGTAAACTAATACACTTTGAGCCTAGGACATATTTTAGGACCATGAAATCTACAAGTTTACTCCTAGCTGGGTGCAGAAGAAATCTTTTTAACTTAACATCTCTGAGATTTCAAAGGAGGCATCCTTTGGCATTGAGAGGCAGTGTAGTTTAGTGGTTAAGGAGCCTGTGGCATCAGGAGCCTCTGAACCTGTGGCTTTAGTATGACTGTCTTCATTGTCCAGATGAGAGCACTCCCCGTGTAAGTTAAAGGTATGGACTGCTGTGTGAGAGAGTGAAGGCTGAATTCCATCTTTGCTAGTACTCACTGTGAGACTATCTTTTTGATCCTTGGTTTTCTCATCTCCAAGTTGTAATAATAGCAATATTTATCTCATGGAGTAGTTGTAAAATTTAAATTCAATGTACAGGTGAAGCCCTGGACATGGTCTAACCCACAGAGTGTCCAGTGAGCACTTATGGGCATGGGACTCACTGTAGGCCACTTGTGGGGTGAGGAGCTCAGTGGAAATTGAATCCAGTTCTCCTGACCTCAGGCCAGTGCCCTGTCCAGTAAACCAGGTGATGTGTAACTCTATCTTGGCCCCGCCATTCTTGCTCTGCTGTCCCCCAGATGTGCTGGGTAACACATCTGTATTTTAATGCCCAGGGGCCTCCTGGAAACAGTGCCTTGGACCAGTGGAGAGGCTCCAAGGGTGGGATTTCCTGAAAGAAATTTCAGATGTTTTCCAGAACCTCTGCTCAGCCTGCCAACCTAGTCCCCAGGGGATTCTTTGTCCCTGCATTTGCCTCTCCCACCCTACCACCCCACCAGGAGCCCAGTAGGGTCTCACCTGTGTAGTAATTTCCCAACGTTTCATCCAGAGGCCACTGGGTACCAGGAGCCTCCTGCTCTCTGGGCACTGGGCTGGGATGAAGTGGGGATTCCCAGCTCCCCAGCTCTGCAGTGGATGTGGGGACATTGGGTGAGTCATGGCTTGGAGACCCATAGTCTGGAGAGCTTAAAGGAGCTTGGTAGAGGAGTGAGGAAGTGATTTCTGGGAGGAAATGAAAGGAAAAATGACCGTTTACTGAACATCTATTTTCTTTTAGTTGCATATATTTTAAGCTCTCACAAGCTGTCTCTTCGAGGTCCTCTTTCCTTCCGGGGCCAACCAGATCCAGCCCCTGCCGACCTCCAAAGCTCCGGGCCCACTATGGGTGGGGGTGAGAACCCCTAAAGCCAGCCCAGGGAACCTGGGGCTGAGAGATGGGTCTTAATAATATTATTTTTAAAACCATTGCAAAGTAGAGACACAATTTTATTCTTTTAGTAGTGAATAGAGAAGTCATGTGAGGGAGCTAGCTTGGGCTGAGGACTAAGCCTAGCCACATCTTGGGGTCTGTCTGGAAAGCAGAGTCCTCCTTGGAACTTCTGGACCACCTTGACCCTAAGGATCTTCAGAGTCCATCAATATTATGAGCTGAGCTCTCCTGGGGCAAGACTCACTGCCTGACCTGCGTGGGTCTCAGCTTCCCCATCTGTCAAATGGGGAGGGGTACAATCTCAGCCCTGGAAGCTCTCTGAAAGATAATTTCTAGACCTACTCCTCTCACCCCATCCTGGCTCCCCTGTCTTTCCTCTGCTCTCTCTACCATGCCAGGTCCACATGCATAGACATGATCACCTGGGTGGGGCCTGCCTGCTGACTCACAGTCCCACCCAGAGCTGTCAGCCCCACTCAGCAAGCCTCACCTCTCCAGTGGTGTCCAGACGTGTCAGGTAGGTGTCTCAAAATGCTTCTCTCTGAGCCCTGGGTGCACCCCTGCAATTCAGGGATCCAGGACCTAAGCACTGCAGTGGAGGTGGGTTGGTTGGGAGACTCCAGGCTGGGTTCACTTAGGCTGGAGGGGAATGAGGGATAGTGGCCTACAGGAAGGAGACAAAGAGGAACTGAGCTTGGGTTCTTCATATTAAGCTGGTTGCCTGTTTCAACCAAGAAAGGTCAGGAGACACCAGAGAACCTACTGCAGTCCTCTACAACCTCCTCTAGAAGTTTATCTGAAGAATGATGCTCTTATAGATACTGATAGACAAAAAGCCCTGATCTGGGATCAGGAAATTTGCATATCTGTCCTGGTCCTGACTACCTCCCTGTGCAAATCACTGCTCCTTCTGAGCCTCAGCTGCGCCATACTGGGCTAACAGCATCTGCCACTCAGGGTGGCTAATAGTGATAATAACAGAAGCAGCAGCAGTAACAGCAATGAGAGATCTTATTTATTGAGCACTTACTGTATATCAGACTCTGTGCTAAATGTTGAACATGGATGAACTCTTTTAACCCTCACACAGCCCAGGGAGGTGGGCTCTGACTCTCCCATTTTGCAGACAGGGAAACAGATGGAGAGCAGTGAAGTGATTTGCCCAGGGCCATAGTGCCAGGACTGGTGATAGTGCCTGGCTCCCAAGTCTGTGATCATAACTACAATGCCAGGCAAGTGCCCCACTTGGGAACTTGGTCTAAAACCCATGCCCACCCTTGCCAGTGTCCTTCTGAATGTCAACCTCTCTCTCCCTTCTTGGGCCCTTTGGGTGCCCCCTCCCAGGTACTATGGGGACCACATGAGGTCCCGGGAATGCACTTGAATAGAAGAGGGAAGGTGTGGGGTTCTGAGGTGCAGCAAGGACCCCCCAGCAAGCCTTCTGGCTCAAGCCTAGTCTGGGGCATGAATCTCCCCTTGACAGAGCAGTTCCATGTCACTGTCCAGAGGAAGGCCTGGCAGGGAGGGTTCAGTGGTGATGGTGGGGTTCCAAGAGGGCAGGGGAGGAGTGGGGGCCAGGAGCTCTCCAGTAGGCAGAGGGGTCCTTTGTCTACTCACCTGCCTCTTCCTGAGCTTGGGTACACAGTGACCTCAGGCCCATCTGCTCCCAGGTATGGATGGCCAGGTCCCAGGCCTGCTGCTCCCCATACTGAGCCACCAGGTGTGAGGCCACCTGCATGCCACTCATCTTCTCTGGTTGAGCAGGTGTCTCACCCGAAGAGCCCCTGGAGTGTGCTTTATTGGTCAGCAGAAGCTGGAACTTCTTCAGTTCCTCCTTCTTCAGGAGCTCCAAGTAACAGGCCAGGCGGCCCCAGGCTCCACCAGCCATCTTTGTCTCAGAGTTAAGGGAGTATCTGGGGGATGTTTATGGGTGGTGAGGGTATCAGGCAGGCAAAGAACAGTGCTCTCCTTTGCCTTGGCTCTTACTGTCTCTTATTCAGCATTCAGAACCCAGTTTTATAGACCCCAGGGCACCTGCAGATAGATGCTGATAGAAGGGGAGTGGTAGGAAAAGTCAGAGGAGGGAGGAACCCAGAGGGTCCTGCGGGACACTGGAAGAAGTCAGCTGATACAGAGGTGCAGGGATGGGGCCTAGGGCCAGGCAGGGATGGTGAGGGTGAAGGGAGATGTGGTGATGGAGGATGGGGTGTGGGCAACGCTCACTGTTCTGCGTTCCTCAGATTCTTCCTTCTCCTGGGTCCTGGACTCCTGAGATCAACACTTGAGCTGCAAGGCTGAGAAGAGGCAGGGTGGGAAGAGCTGCAGAGCAGGAAATGGGCTTTCAGAACCCAGAGCTGAGTCCAGGGCTGCTTGTTCTCAGGTCTCTTCAGGTCTCTCCTGGTCCTGGGACACCAACCACCAAGAACAGTCCCCAGTCAGCCAGAGCAGGAAGGAAAAGTCATTCAGAGGAAACCCACAAGGGGCGTGCCCAGGGGGTAGTGTCAAAACAGGCCTGGGTAGACCAGGCTCAGAGCCACATATCCAGATGGGCCACATGGTGTCTACAGGTGGACCAAGGGTAGAGGCTTAGACTAGCTGATGCTGCAGCAGGTACAGGCCCATACTACACATGGTGCGTGCATCTACATGCGGGTACTCTGCCAGTTAACACCTACAGCCTGTCTGCAGAGCTAGGAGGCAGACTCTTCAGGCAGTTGTGTTTGCAGCTCAGGCCCAGCCTGTCAGGATGAGTGGGCCTCTCTGTGTCTGCTAGGGCAGCTCCTTACTGGGAAACATTAGAGCTGGGCCAGGGAGGATTTTTCTCCAGCCTCTCATGGTTTTGGGGGCTTCTTGAGTTGTACTGAATGTCCTGCCATGCTACTGGGGGCACTGAAGCATGGGTCCCAGGCCCAGGGGGCTGTTTGCCTTGCGGGCAGCCCAGCACTTAGCTGGTGAACATTCTCACCTGAAAGCAGAATAGCCCCTTCCTCATTCTTGCAAGCAGGCCTGAGGGAGCTAGGTGCAGACTTCTTTTGTTGAATCTACAAGATGCTGCTGACTCCAGGTTGAGTAATGACATTACCCAACTCATTTGCTGATGTAACACACCACCAGGAATTTCTGGAGTTGCTTTGGTTTCACCTGGACTGGCAGAGCCCAGGCTTCAGCCCACAGATTACTTGAACAAGGGCTCCTTGTGTGCCTGATTTATTTCTTTGAGTCTCAGTTTGCTCATCTATTAAATGGGACATCATAGGTTTACTAAGAGGCTTCAATTCAGCAAAAGGGCTTAGTAACCTTTATATATATATTATTTATTTATTTATTTTTGAGACAGAGTCCCTTTCTATCACCCAGGCTGGAGTTCAGTGGCAAGATCTTGGCTCATTGCAACCTTTCCTCCATCACTTGGGTTCCAGCAACTCTCCTGCCTTGGCCTGGTGGGCAGCTGGGATTATAGGCACTTGCCACTGCACCTGGCTAATATTTTTGTATTTTTAGTAGAGATAAGGTTTCACCACGTTAGCCAGGCTGGTCTCAACTCTTGACCTCAGGTGATCTGCCCACCTCGGCCTCTTAAAGTGTTGGGATTATATTTATACAATTATAAATTATTACATTTATACAATACAAAGCCTCTGTGCCTGGCCTAAATAAATTGTATAAATGTTAGTTTTAAAAAATGGCTAATATAAGTACATTGTAGGGCATTCTAACATTAGACTGACCAGAAGTGAAAAGCGCTGTGCTAAAAGTGGGATGATGTGGGGGGAGGCGAGGGGGTGGGTCTGAGCACTCCGTTAAGGACCCTGAGACCCCATGTGGTGGGAGGAATGGCTTGGAGCCTGGAGGGCTGTGTGGGGTTTTTTTTCCTCCTCACACCAGCCAATTCTGACACCAACTGGTTTTCTGCAGTGCAATTCTATATACTAACTGCCTGGAGTCAGCATCAAACACCACAGGTTTAGGGGCTCAGTGAAGAGTTGGCCTCATATCAGATGCCAGTTGCAAATGGGGTGCCCAGACCACTGGCACTTCTCTGCCTGACTTGGTGACAAATTTGAGGGTTCCCACAGCCCCTGGCAGGTTCAATAATTTGTTGAAATGACTCATGGGACTGAGAAATGCACTTTATTATTACTGATTCATGAAAGTATACAGCTCAGGAATAGCCCAATGGAAGAGATGCTGAGGTCAAGGTGTGGGTGGGGAGGAGCACAGCGATACCTTGCCCTCCAGGGACCTTACTCTCCCCGCCCCTCCCTGCTTCACTAACCTGGGAGCTCTCCAAACCCCAAACAAACAAAACTGTGGGATTTTTTTTTTTTTGGAGGTTTCACTTCATAGGCATAATTGATTAAATCACTGGCCACTGGAGATCCACTCAACCTATTAAATAGATCAGAAGTCTGACCCTTCCCACCATGCCCATGGGGGCTGCTGGTCTAGCCTTCTATTGTCTCTTACTGGGATCACTGTGCTAGCCTCCTAAGTCTCCCCCACCTATGCTGATGCTATCACTTTATTGTCTACCCTCAGTCCAGCAGCCAGGATTATCCACTTAAAACATAAATTAGGTCAGGTCACTTCTCAGCTCAAGACTTTCCCATACTCACATCTCACTCTGAATAAAAACCAAAGTCCAACCAAAGGCATGATGACTCATGTCTGTAATCCGAGCACTTTGGGAGGCCAAGGTGGGAGGATCACTTGAGGCCAGGAGTTCAAGACCAGCCTGGGCAACACAGCAAGACCCTGTCCCTATAAAATAATACTAAAAAGCTTCCCAAATCCAACTGCACACAGTGGCTCATGCCTGTAACCCCAGCACTTCGGGAGGCCAAGGTGGGTGGATCACTTAAGTTCAGGAGTTTGAGACTAGCCTGGCCAACATGGTAAAACCCTGTCTCAACTAATAATACAAATAATTAGCCCAGTGTGGTGGTGGGCGCCTGTAATCCCAGCTACTCAGGAGGCTGAGGGAGGAGAATTGCTTGAACCTGGGAGGGCAGATATTTCAGTGAGCCAAGATCACGCCATTGTACTCCAGTTAGGGTGACAAGAGCGAAACTCAGTCTTAAAAAAATCCCAAAAAACAAAAACCAACTTCCCAAGTCCCCTGAAGTCTTCCCAGTGGCTCCCGGGGATTGCATGATCTAGCCTTTCATATCTCTCCAGCATTATCTCCTACCCTGTCCCCCCCTCCCTTACTCTGCTCTGGGTTCTCTTAGTCTCTTTCCTGTTCTTTGAACACACCAAGAATATTCTCACTCCAGGGCCTTCGCACTAGTGTTGTTTCCATTGCCTTGGAATGGTTTCAACAGATATTCAGAGAAGGAGTACTCCTCTATTCCCTGCTTCATTTTTTTTTTTTTTTTTTTTTTAGACGGAGTCTCGCTCTGTTGTCAGGTTGGAGTGCAGTGGCACAATCTCAGCTTACTATAACCTCCACCTCCTGGGTTCAAGCGATTCTCATACCTCAGCCTCCTGAGTAGCTTGAATTACAGGCATGCACTACCACACCCAGCTAATTTTTGTATTTATTTTTTTTTTTTTTAAGTAGAGATGGGGTTTCACCATGTTGGCCACGATGGTCTTGATCTCCTGACCTCGTGATCCGCTCACCTTGGCCTCCCAAAGTGCTGGGAGTACAGGCATAAGCCACCGCACCCAGACCCTGCTCCATTTTTATGGAGCTTATCACCGCCTGATATTATAGACTTGTTTATTTGTTTACCTTCTGTCACCTCCTGCCAATAGAATGTTAAGGTCCCTGGAGACAGGACTTAACTTGTTTTGTTCACTGTTGTATCGCCTACGCCTAAATCAGTGCCTGGTCCATGTCAGCACAATAAATACTACAGACACTGATTGTCTTTTGAACACTTTCCTTTTTATCCTTCTAAACAGCTACTCACTCTGGCCACTTGATGGCACTCAAGTACTTTCTGTGCATTGAAGCAGCCTCTTGGGTTTGGTGGAGAGGACTCACTGGCACTCTCTGAGCCTGAATTTTTAAAGTTATTCCTATTTCTGGTGCTTTGAGTCTTTGTTTCCTTTCCCAGAGGCATTTTAGGAACACATTCAATCTTACTTTTATTCAAGTCAAGCTAGTAACAATTAAAGCTTAACTCATGAGGAATATCCATATGGCCAATGCTCCAGCAGAGAAAAGTCAGATTTTCTCTCTATGTTCAAATTACTATGACTTGAATCCAGATCTGGATAACTTCTGGAAATCAGCCTCCTTGAAATTCCATTCCTCCCACCTATTTCTAAGTGTGTCCCAGGCATTGCCTCATGGGGTTCTGACGTCAGTCTTTGGTTTCCCTCTGACTAAGTGGCCTTTACTACCTTGCTGTCATCCCCTTGGTCTCAGACCCCATTTCTATCCTCCTGAAGTTGTTGGGCCCAGGTGTCCTCTCTGTCCCAATCATTTCGGGGCACTGCTCTTTTCTGGCCCATTCCTGAAATGTGGGACAGGGCTTTCCTAATTCATGGCACAACTGAGACTGTGACATGAGGATATGATTTTGAGAAAGACCTTCCCGAAGGATCAGAGAGGAAGAGGGTGTCACTCTCTGTAGCTGTGGCTCACATTGTCCTCAGAGCCTTCTGGTCCAGGATCATCCCTGCTGTTCCTTTTCCAGCTGGAGCTCTCTGCAGCTCTGGTGATTTCAATCAGACACGGGCAGGTCATTCCCCAGCCCCAAGATTCTCCAGCCTCTTTCCCCTTTGGAGGCCAGGTCTGCCTGGCTCTAATACTTAGAAAGAACAAGTGGGCTGGGCACAGTGGCTCACGCCTGTAATCCCAGTACTTTGGGATGCCGAGGTGGGCTAATCATCATGTTAGTAGAGATGGGGTTTTACCATGTTGGTCAGGCTGGTCTCGAGGTCAGGAGTTCAAGACCAGCCTGACCAACATGGTGAAACTCCATCTCTACTAAAAATAAAACAACAACAAAAAAATTAGCTGGGCATGGTGGCAGGTGCCTGTAATCCCAGCTATGCAGAAGGCTGAGGCAGGAGAATTTCCTGAACCCAGGAGGCAAAGGTTGCAGTGAGCTGACATTGCACCACTGCACTCTAGCCTGGGTGACAGAGCTGAACTCCATCAAAAAAAAAAAAAAAAAAAAAAGAAGAAGCTGCTTTACATTCACATCACTCCTAGCATGGGCCTCAGGATTATCCTCCTTCCTGGATGATTGACGTGGAAATAGCTATTCCCTTCAGATGTGTGCTGGTATTATGAACCCAACAAAATCATCTCGATAGTTTGACAATTCATTTCCCCAAAGTTGGTTCGTTTCAGGCTTAGATAAAACAGTGCTTTGAACATCAACAGATGAAATCTTTTGTTAAAAAAATATGGTCTAATTCATCTAGCCCTCTTCCTCTGCCTGTCATTCCTCTTCCTCCTCCTAGTCTTTCCTGTAATGTAAAGTGAAGGAAATA